TGTGTTAACACTGAGACTGTGTTAACACTGAGACTGTGTTAACACTGAGATTGTGTTAACACTGTGATTGTGTTAACACTGTCTCAGTGTTAACACTGAGACTGTGTTAACACTGAGATTGTGTTAACACTGAGACTGTGTTAACACTGAACTCTCAGCCACTACCATCTGTAAAACTGAAAGAACTGTGTTGAAGTTAACATCAGATATCCATTAATTTACCAACTTTACTTTTATTATGATCCAACCAGTGGTTCCCTTAGAAAAAACTAGTACATACAACTATCCTTTAAGTGTACTCATTTTGAACTAAACAAAAAAAAAAAGAGTGTACTTCCAGTTTACTTTGTATGTACTTATCTGAGATGTACTTAACCAAGTTTATCGTACACTATACTTGGCTTGTACTAAAAATATACTAAAAGTTTAATGTACTTAGGCTATACTAATGATTAAACTTTAGCCAAGATAAAGTTTAATAGTACACTGAAAGTACATTTACACACAGACTGTTTTATTTGTACCATATTTCAATATTAAACCAATTCAGAAGATTACTTTTAGTATACTTCTAAGTATACTCTCATAAACTTATTGTGGGCCAGTTTAATCTTACAAGTACAGTTGTTAGTAAACTGCTAGTATACTTATATCAGTGTACATGGTAAATAAAAGTACACTTAGGGAAATGCACTTTTATATACTTTATATACTTAATGACATGTGCTTAAAGTGCCTGTGATGTCAGTTTTTTTGCAGTAAACATGAATGTATTTTTGGAAAGAGAACATTGATAAAATATTGCAAAACAAATTTCACACCAAGGAGATGAACGGTTGTTGAGATATTTGCATGTGAAGAAACAGGAAGTGATGTCAGAGGGGAACGTCTGCCTGTAAACAGAGCGTTGTTACAACGCTAACGACAAACTGTAGAGAAGAATCTGTTTCTTTAGATTGTTTTGAGTTTTTATCAAAGAGAGATGAAGAAGAGTTAAAGATTAAATAATATTGTTTTAATAAAAAAGACCAGTTTATTTTACTAAAGAGTTCCACTTTGATGTCACTTCCTGTTTCACTTTGAGCCAAATCCAAAAGAAAATAGGTCAGTTATGAAGCAAAACATGTAAAATCATGTGTACTGTGCCAATTTTCTTAAGAATAAATATGTTTTATTTGATTTATTGTATTTGAAGTAGGCATGTCACAGGTACTTTAAAGTGTACTTCTTTTTGGTAATTTTATAAACTTAACAGTGTACTTAAAGTATACATTTTACAACTTTAAAAAGTCTCAATTTAGTACGAACAAGTATTAAATCAGTATACTTTGTAGTACACTACAAGTACATGGTGCCTTGATATACATAAACTAACACTCAAGTATACATATTAAAATGAACTTCTTGGTGAGATATTTTGCTGACACACATGAATTAGCATCAAACACAAGGACAACTAGACATGGGTTTTTACGATGTAAAAACAAGTGTGCATTGCCATGTAGCATGTCATTGCAGCATGGCTTTGCCTACAGCATTGGACTTGCAGAATGAACTTTGACCAAGTTCAAATGTGTTTTCTATACCAGCTTGTGCCTGTCACGTCAGCAGGTGTTTGTAATTAAGGTAACTGAGTGACAATATGAAGTTTGAAGAGATTTTTTTGTTAAAGTTGTATTAGCCGGGTTTTAAACCCTGATCTCCCACATGAAAGTCCATGACATAGACCATTAGACCAATGGAGCTGTGGCAGAAGGTGGTGGCAGGGGTTGGTTTGTATGTGTGCAGAAAGAGGCCACATTGCCAATACAATTGTTTACACAAAAATGCATAATATTACAACAATAGAGCAGTATTAAGGCAATATTATAGTAAAACATCAAAATTCAATCATATTAGTATTGTAAACACAGAACTAGAGATTAAATATAAAAAACTATGGTGCAGTACCAAGTTGAGTACAGCTGGGGGCAGTATTGGACCAATTAAAAGCTCCATTGACTGCCATTATAATTCATTAAACAATAATATTTCATAAAGTTTTACAGGCACCAAAAGGCATAGCCATCATTTGGCACAGGGGCTTTACAGATATAAATTACAATGGCAGCTGTAGGACAAAGTATGCAGGAGGAGAAGCATGGCAAAGTTGAGATGACTTGGATGGGAAACGAATCACACACTGATTACATCATCACCCACCTTTGTTTGGGGCAGCAGGTGATCCAGATGTTCATCCACATGATCACCAACATCTGCTCTGAAGGTTTTATTATTTTCACAGGTTCAAACAAAACGAATAAAGTTTGAATTAAAAACATTTTCAGTAACTTTCAGCTGATGTTCAGGCTCAAACTTTAAAAACAACAACAACAACCTGCTGCTTGTTTCAGGTGATTTAATGAGACAAAAGAAACAATTCTGATACAGAAAATACAGAATTCATGAAAAGAGAGAAGTTAGAGAAACAAAACCTCAACAGACCAGATGTTTCATTAAAAACAAGTCAAACAAACTGAACGAGACACAAAGTTCAGTCTGATCTGCTGAGTTTTAACAACAAACTGGAAATATCTGGACGTGAAGAAAGTGATGAATAAATACAAGCTGCTTAAAACACCAAGGTTTCAACAAAAACAAACACTTTAAATAACATTTAGAGGTGAAAATCTGAAAAACGAGCATTTTTCTTTTTCTCTTTGATCTTTTAGGCTCAAAAAGAAACAAAATAAATGAAATGACTTTTAATCTGAAACTAAATAATTTCACATTTAAAGAGCTTCACTTTGTTTTAATCGTCTTATTTGCCGTTTTTAAGTGTTTCAACGTCAAAATTTAACAGCTAGTTAATAAAATTAAATTTATAAATTATAGGAACCTAATTTTTTTTAATGTAAATAATAAATCACTAAACTGTCAGGAACTTTTGAAAAATAAAACGTGATATTTTGTAATTTTGAAATTCCAGAACACTTGAGGGGGCGGAGCCTGAATCGAACACAACAGATGCTGTGGGCGGAGTCTGTGTTGACCAATCAGAACCTTGTCACTCAGTTTCATTAGTTATTAAAGTGTCTGTGACATGGTTATCCTTCAAATATAAAATGTCAAAGAAAAACATATTTATTCTTAATAAAATTGGCATAGTACACATGATTTTACTTATTTTGTCGTGTAACCGGCCTGTTTTCTTTTGAACTTGGCTCAGTCAAAGTGAAACAGGAAGTGACATCAAAGGGGAACTCAATAAAATTAACTCTAGTTTTTGTTTATTAAAACATTAAACTTTAGCTCTTCTTTGTCTCTTTGATAGAAACTATTAATAATCTAAAGAAACAGATTCTTCTCTACAGTTTGTGTTTTTGTAACAACGCTCTGTTTACATGCAGTCCCCTATGACATCACTTCCTGTTTCTTCACACACAAATATCTCAACAACCGTTCATCTCAGCAACATGAAATTAGTTTTGCAGCATGTTCTCAATGTTCTCTTTCCAAAAACGCACTCATGTTTATTACAAAAATCTGATGTCACAGGCCCTTTAAAATAAACCAATGAATCTGAAGCTGTTTTATACAAACTCAGAGGTTTTTAAAAATTGGTAAAGTTTGACACCTGAAGCAGCTCAGTAACTTTGGTTTGGATTTATTCCAGATTAAAAACTGGGTTTTGGGTCAGAAGTTTGTTGGTCTGTTTGTAAAGACAGAAAAAACTCAGAAAGCTGACGAGGAATCAGAAGTTATTTAAACTAAACATGAAAATAAAAATCAAAGTGAATCAATTCTCCTGAAAGAGCTGAAACCATCAGTTTAAACCCGACTGAAGCCTTTTAATATTTGACACGTTGTTGTTGTTTGTCCTTCGGGTCAGAACCTCAGGCTCAGTTTGGATTTAAACCGGTCTTCTGTACCTGCTTTGAGAACAGCTCTCATCTCTCAGGTCCAAACAAACGCTGAACGTCGGCTCCAGAACCTCGTCTGAAAGACTAAATAAACCCACAAACGTCCAGAGGGTCCGGTTCGGTTCCGTCCAGCCTGCGGTCCTGAAACATCCGTCCAAAGAGACAACCGGACCGGGTCGGTCCAGTTCTGACCTGAAGAGTCCTGGTTTAAAAAAAGACCTGGTTCAGAAGTTCCCACAGTGATCCACCAGAACCTCCCTGGTTCTGAATCGTTCATGCTCACATCATCATCATCATCATCATCATCATCATCTATACGTTAAGTCTGAGTCCAGTCCAGCTGCGGTTCTGCTGGGTCCAAGTTTCAGACCTCAGAGACCAGATGGAGGGTCAACAGTTCAGGTCTTCATCAGGAGGTTCTGATCACACGGGACACGTTAGAACCCTGCAGGGGAACTGGGACCAGAACCTGTGGTCTAATCAAGGACCAGCAGGGGGGGCTGGACTCAGAACCCAGAGTCCAGAGACCAGCAGAGGGGACTGGACTCAGAACCCAGAGTCCAGTCTGAGATGAAAAATTACTCATCTATAAACTCAAACTGGACCTCAGACCTCCAGGTCCAGGTCCAGGTCCAGGTCCAAACCTCTTTACAGCTTCAGTCTGAAACAATAACAGGAAATACTTTTACTTTGAAATGTACACGCACCAAGTACAAGTACTTAGAGTTGAGTAGTTGCTGATACTGAGTACTGATACTGAGTACTGATACTGAGTACTGATACTGAGTACTGATACATGTTGTTTTACTAATCATAGACAAGTTGAAGTCCTCTAACTGAGTCGGGTCTAAACCTGAGACGGACAGGAAGCTGCAGCTCTGATCCAGATGATCTGAGGATCCTCTGGTCCTCAGTGAGACCAGAACCACTTCCTGTTGGACTGGAAACAGATTGATGTTAAACATCTGAGTTCTTCACTGCTCTCCACATCTGTACAGCTCTGTGGTATCAGTAGTACACACTCAGTATCAGACTAATACTCAGGATTAAACTAACACTCAGTATCAGACTAATACTCAGGATTAAACTAACACTCAGTATCAGATTAATACTCAGGATTAAACTAACACTCAGTATCAGATTAATACTCAGGATTAAACTAACACTCAGTATCAGACTAATACTCAGGATTAAACTAACAGTATCAGACTAATACTCAGGATTAAACTAATAGTATCAGACTAATACTCAGGATTAAACTAACAGTATCAGACTAATACTCAGGATTAAACTAACACTCAGTATCAGACTAATACTCAGGATTAAACTAACACTCAGTATCAGACTAATACTCAGGATTAAACTAACAGTATCAGACTAATACTCAGGATTAAACTAACACTCAGTGTTGGTGCTTTGATGTTATTATTGACTGAAACCTGATGTTTAGTTTTACTTCCTGTATTATAATAATGATGTAATAACAGTTTCTGTGATCAGAGGAATGTGTTATAGACTCTTTCTCTTCTCGGAGGGTTAAAAACTGGTCCCATGTGATCCGGCCCTCGTCTTTTCAGAACCCAATCAGCTGACCCGTCCGCCTGCAGGGGCGGTTCTGGTTCCTGACAGAACCGGGCTGAGCAGCTGGTTTTAACCTGACAGGAAGTTAAAGCTTGTGTTGTGGATTTTCACAGTAAAATGTTTCTTTCGCCTCAGTCTGAACCACATGGAGCTGTGGTTCTGGTGGGGCGGGGTCAGGGGGCGGGGTCACCGTCTCTGCTGGCTGTAGACGGGGAAGGCCAGCGTGACGTTGAGCGAGTCGTTGTGTTGGACCAGAGAGGTGTGCTGGTAGTGCAGGACCAGCTCCTTCAGGGACCCGTACAGGTTGTAGGGCTCCGCAAACCCGTACCCCGTGCTGGTCTTGTTGATGACGCAGTGCTTCACCTCGCCGTCCACCCTGAGGGGGCGGGGTCAGAGACACAGGTTTTAGACTAAATACATGGTAAACAAAGGATCAGGTAAACAAAGGATCAGGTAAACAAAGGATCAGGTAAACAAAGGATCGGGTAAACAAAGGATCGGGTAAACAAAGGATCAGGTAAACAAAGGATCAGGTAAACAAAGGATCGGGTTAAAAAAAGGATGAGGTAAACAGGTGAGGGGGTGGAGTCAGAGACACAGGTTTTAGACTAAATATCAGGTAAGCAAAGGATCAGGTAAACAGGTGAGGGGGTGGAGTCACAGACAGGTTTTAGACTAAATATTAGGTAAACAAAGGATCAGGTAAACAAAGGATCAGGTAAACAAAGGATCAGGTAAACAAAGGATCAGGTAAACAAAGGATCGGGTTAAAAAAAGGATCAGGTAAACAAAGGATCGGGTTAAAAAAAGGATCAGATAAACAGGTGAGGGGGCGGAGTCAGAGACACAGGTTTTAGACTAAATATCAGGTAAAGGATCGGGTAAACAAAGGACCAGGTAAACAGGTGGGGGGGCGGAGTCAGAGACAGGTTTTAGGCTAAATATCTGGTAAACAAAGGATCAGGTAAAGAAAGGATGAGGTAAACAGGTGAGGGGGCGGAGTCACAGACACAGGTTTTAGACTAAATATCAGGTAAAGAAAGGATGAGGTAAACAAAGGATCAGGTAAAGAAAGGATCAGGTAAACAGGTGAGGGGGCGGAGTCTTACACCACAGAGCAGGCAGCGAAGCAGCCCGGTTTGCTGCTGTCCCGGACCAGGAAGGTCCCGTCCCTCTTCCCTCGCAGCAGAGCTTCGGCCTGGTTCCTGTTGATGTTCCCGAGGCGCCACAGACGCTCGTCGTGGTGAGGAAGGTCCTCCTCATCCTCCACCATGCTGTACTCACTGAGGAACACACAGGAGGGGGGTCAGGACCGGACAGAACCAGGACCTGGATCAGGATCCAGACAGGGTCTGTGAGACTTACTCCTCGGTGGTTTCGTTCTTCAGTCCGAGCCACTCGTTCAGTTTCCTCTGCCGTACTCCTTTCTGGGTCAACCACCTGAAAACAAACCAATAAATGAGATCCTGGGTTCTGGGTCACAGCTGCCACCTGGTCCAGGTCCGGCTTCCACCTACATGAGGTACTGGTCCCTGGTCTTGCGGAGCTGGATCAGGTCTGGTTTGATGCTGTTCATCTTCTTGTCAATCTCTCGGTTGTCGGCGGCCTGCTTCTTCAGGTCCACCTCCAGGTGCCGCTTGCTGTCCACGATCTCACTGATCCGGGACTTCAGCTTCTCGTAGTTCTCCATGATCCTTCAACAGGTTTTAATGACACAGGTCAGAGTCTGGTCCAGAACCTCAGAACCACTGACTGCTTCTGTTCTCACTTCACAGCAGAAACAACCATGTTTCTGCTTTATTTGGTTTGTATCATTTTGTTGTGTTGTGATGTGTTTTTAATGAAATTAATTAATCAATATTAAAAACAAATAAACCTGATCACTTTCAACAGAACTAAACTAGAGCTGCAACTAACAATTATTTTAATAATCATTAATCTGTCGGTTTTTCAATTAATCAACCAAATCATTCAAACACTTCATTACATAAATATGAGTGGATCTAAATTAATTTCATTCCTGTATAAATTAAGGATGCAAGTTATTGATTAATTAATTAATCTGAAGTTGATTTCTTATAGATTGACTAA